TCAATGTTTGAAAGTCTTACTTCTTCACACAGCACATAGTTAAACTGCGGAACTCACTGCTGCAGGAGGCAGTGATGCCCTCCAACTTGGATGGCTTTGAAAAGCATTGGAGAAACTCACGGAGGAGAGGGCTATCAGTGGCTACCATCCACAAGGGTTATGCTCTGCTCTGCCTCTACATCCCAAATACTGCAACCGTTCTTCATAAGGGAGTTGCCCTATTCCTTTGGTCATTTTGGCTGCCCTTTTCTTGAACCTTTTCCAATTCTACTCTATTGTGTTTGAGGTGAGGTGACCGCAGAATAGATTTGGCATTATGATCCAGGCAGTTTTATTTTCACTTCCTTTCCTAATGAACCCTAGCCTGGAATTTGCCTTTTTCAAAGCCACTGCACCTCTTTCTTGAACTAGACACTAGACACCAAGGTGTCCTGGTCAGTCACCACCAGTTCAGACCCCTGTAGCATGCAGTATATGTGAAATTAAACTTTGTTTGCCCTGACGTGCATTGCTTTACACTTGATTACACTCCAATTGCATTTACCATCCGTTCACTCAGTTTGCAGTGGTCCTTTTGGAGCTCATCTCTTTCTGTTTTTAGGATGCCAAGGCTGGATAGCTCTGTCGGTAAACCATGAGACTCTTAATCCAGGGTCGTGGGTTCGAATCCCGCATTGGGTGAAAGACTCCTGGATTGCCGGGGGTTGGACTAGATGACTCTCGTGAGCCCTTCCAACTCTGCAGTTCTACAATTCTACGATCAGCAAACTTGGCCACTTTGCTGCTCATATTAGGAGGGCAGAGACAGTTCTTAATCTGAAGCATAGCATGGAATGGTGGTGGAGGGGCTGTGGCTGGTAGGGTCAGCCGGAGAGATACTAATTGTGTAATTGTCCACATAACTATCTAAAACAGGTGGGTCTCTGTCCATAAGACTGTTAAGTTCCCACCCTGGGATTCATTTCCCTGCTCAGGGATTGATTTTAATGAAGAGCAGGTTATAAATCACCCCAGTAAAGCAAGCAAATGAAGTCCAAGGTCTTAAACTGCCTGCTTGGAGCTGCACCAGTCAGAGTGTGTGGGGAGGGGGCAGCAGCCTGAGCCTGGCTCTGAATTTCTGTGCTCTCTTGCCTCCCCCTCTCCCACAGCAACAGCACTTTCGACTCAAGAATCTTTCTTGAGCTGCCTCCTCCACGTAAAGAAAAAAACCCTCCCCATGCCTTTGCAAGATGGCTCTAATTTAACCATTTCTGCAACGGAAAGTGGCAACGGCTCCTTGGTGATTTAGATGCTGGTGGCAAATTGCCACCTTTGACAGGAGCTGCTGAGATTTCCTGCAGAAATCGATGGGTGATTCAAGGAGTCTGCTGTTCAGCAAGGCAAATCAGCTGCCAACAGGTGGCTTTATTGGCTCCCAGTGAAAGGTGGGACTCATTATGCTGCAGGCCGGGGTGGGGGTGGGGGTGGGTTGCCATAGGAGGTGCCTGCGCTGGGGGATGCACCAAAGCTGCCCTCTGCTCCGTTGACAAGGCAGCAGTCTCTGCAAAAGGAGCCTTTAATCCTGGCAAGTCTGCCAAGGCATCTTGGGGGTGGCTAAGGGGCAGTGGTGGGCACCCAGCTGACCTCCCCCCCGCACAGGTTGCTTCCCTAGAGCAATCCTGCAGGTGCCTGAGCCCTGCCTCCTGAGCATATTATCTGTGCCCTCCTGCCATGGACATCTGCCAGGGCTTCCCTCAAGGAGGATGAGGGAAGATTTAGGAACAGGCAGATGGGAGCACGATCAGACTGCTTTAAAATGTCAAAAGATGATTAAAAAGCCAATGCAATATGGAAGTGAGAGGCAGCACCGGGGCTAAGAGGGTGGATAAGGCTGCGAAAGTGTCGTTTTGGCAAGGGGGGGGGGCATCCAGATTGTGTGGCCCTAATTCTCAAGCCAAAACAAGCCTGAAGGTGGCATGGTACCCAGGGTGCAGATCCCAGGTGCCGAACAGCTCCTAGTGATGTGTCTCAGAACATGTTCTGGCTTTAATAAAATCATCATCAGAGAGAGAGAGAGAGAGAGAGAGAGAGAGAGAGAGAGAGCGCGAGAGAGAGCGAGCACGTTCCACAAACATTGGCCAGTTTACAAGAGGACTTCATTGCTAGTGTGGCTAATAGCCCACTATGGCTTGTAATTAATGTGAGTCCTCCTCAGAGTGGACCCATTGGAATGGATGCCTGGATTTTAGTGGGACAGCTTCCAGGGGCCATGCCAAGCCTAGCCCTCCAGAGACCGGAGGGTGATCAGAGAGCAGAACATCTTGGGTGGGCAACAGACCACCCAAGTAGTAGCTGTGCTTGTTGATAATATCATTTACAGCCCCCACTTTCCTCCAAGGAGCTCAAGGTGGCGCCCCTTGTTCTCCTGCTCTATATTTTATCCTCACAACAACCCTGTGAGGTAGGTTAGGCTGAGAGACTGGCCCAAGGTCACCCAGTAAGCTTCATGTTGGAGTGGGAATTTGAACCGTGGTCTCCCAGGTCCCAGCCCAGGACTCTCCCACTGGTTCCTGCCCATTTCGCCTCACAAGGCCCAGGGGAGATGTGACTTTGGGGTATAGCCTTTTTGGTGTGCCATAGTGAAGAACCTTTCCCCTTTGCATTTCCTAGTTGGGTCTCTTGAGGGGTGGGGTGACTCTGGCACCCAAAGCTGCCCTGTGCCCTGCTGCCACCCACCCCACACAGGACAGACTTGTGGGACATTAAACCATGTTGGCACTTCTGCCCACCTCCTGCTTGGCACCTTACAGGGCAATGGAGATTCCACACCTCCAGGGGGAGCCCCTCTCCCCCAAGCTGACTTGGGCAAGGCTCTTTCATTGCAAATCTAGTTGCTCTTGCATTTCACCGGGGCACTTTGAGACTGAAATCCAAGATCAGTTGACATGCGTGTGTTTGACCTTCAAGTCCAAACGGCACACAACATTTTATTTCACCAAATGCAGAAAAAGCACACCAGGCTGTGGGGGGTTGGAGTTACCACCTTGAGCCTCAGCTCAGCTTGTACTGCTTAGCTGCAGCCAAGAGTTGGGGTCTCACTCTTTTTAGGAGAGCCAACTCCAGCCAGGACATTTCAGGAACCAGACTTCCACCAGCTCCCCGACTCCAGTGTGTCTCCCCCATATTTGGGACAATTTCAAAACCCTGAGCAGAACCCATGCCTCTTCCTTCTCTCCCCTCTACCCCAAATTACATTTGAGCCATTGGTTTGTCCCCCACATGGTTGCAAACGGAGAAGCCCCTATTAAAGCCGAGAACTAATTTGGGAGCAGAGGAGGTGAGGCTCCTCCTTCCGAGGCAATTCAGAGCAGCACTTGACATTCAATTAGGACTGCGGGTTCCCATAAAACAGCCTATTAAGCTTGCCCATAAATCCCCACTGGCTGTGCACCAAGCCGCGCGGCCTGCCTTGTCCCTGGCACAAGGAGGAGGAGGAGGAGGAGGTGGGAGCAGCAGCGCCGGCAGCAACACTTTGGCACAAATGCAGCCATCACCTCTCCTTGTCACCTGTTTCTTGCTCCAGGAAGGGGAACTGCTGCTGCTGCTGCCACCATTGCCGCTCTGCTTTCTGCCTGCATCTGAGAAAACCCCGGGATCCTTAGTGGCTTTTCCAGGTTGGGCTTGGAAAGACCCGCTGCCTGGAACCCTTGAGAGCTGCTGCCAGTCAGTGTAGACAGTACTGAGCTAAATGGACCACTAGGTGCGATTCAGTATAAGACAGCTGCCTATGCTGCTATGTACTTCCTCACCTCCTCTGCCATGATCAGGTTATTCTGCTTCCCTGCGGGGCTGATAGGAGGGTGAGGGCAATGTTCAAGGGGAAAGTGCTCATTCTTTTTTAAAAACCACACACAGAGAAAGATCAAAGAGGGGAACGAAAGGGACACTTTGCTCCCACATTATAAAGGAGCCTGATTTGACAGTTGCTTCAGGTGAACCAAAAGTCAGCCGGGTCTTGCTTCCCTCCAGCAAGAGGTCGTAGAGAGGCCAAGCCAGTGGGTTAAAATGGGGTGGGTAGGTGGAGAAACCCCGGATCAACCCCCTAACCAGCCACAAAGGTCACTGGGTGACCTGAGGCCGGTTGCTCTCTTTGGCTGTCTCCGCACCATACATTTTATGCAGCTTAAGGGACGCGGGTGGCGCTGTGGGTTAAACCACAGAGCCTAGGACTTGCCAATCAGAAGGTCAGCGGTTCAAATCCCCACGGCGGGGTGAGCTCCTGTTGCTCGGTCCCTGCTCCTGCCAACCTAGCAGTTCGAAAGCACGTCAAAGTGCAAGTAGATAAATTGGTACCGCTCCGGCTGGAAGGTAAACAGCGTTTCTGTGCGCTGCTCTGGTTCGCCAGAAGCAGCTTAGTCATGCTGGCCACATGACCCGGAAGCTGTACGCCGGCTCCCTCAGCCAATAAAGCAAGATGAGCACCCCAACCCCAGAGTCGGTCACGACTGGACCAAATGGTCAGGGGTCCCTTTACCTTTAAAGGCGCTGAGATTTGTAGCTCTGTGGTGGCAAACTGCACTTCCCGGGATTCTGGAGGGGTGTGTGCTTTCAATGGGCTCCAAATGCCAGGTGTGGCCATAGCTGATGACTTGAAGACAAAGCATCTACACTGGTCAAAGGGCATCTTCACTGACTAGCCCTTACAGGGGCATGGTGAAAGGGTGGTCATGAGGGAGACTGGCACTCAGGATGTCCTGCTCACAAGCGTCACCAGGGCCTGCTCATCCTCTGTGCCCAGGGTCAGGGCACCCACATTGCCCACCCCCTGTGGCCTCTGGGGTGCTTTTGAATGCAGAGCTTTGGTAGAAGGCAAAACAGAGAGCCTTTCCCAACTGGGACTGGTGAAGCAGCCCCTCCACACCCTTTGCCCTGGAGCCACTAAGGAGGATCACCTAAGAAAAGGACCCGGTCAGCTGCCTCCCCCTTCCCCCAGCGTCACTGAGAAAAATCTCTCTCTGATGGATGTTTGCATTATTTTATTTCACAGGAGGAGGGGACAAGGAGGGTGGGGCGGGTCACATCCTGAACAGGGAGAAGGGACTGTGCCTGAAGTACCCGTAACAGCAGAAATCTGTGCTTTATTCACAGGACAGAAATGTCGTAACAGGACGGTGCGTGGGGGGCAGGGAGAGACACAGGGCTCACGCAAAAGCCCCCCAAAGAGAAGGAGCAGAGGGGCCCAGTCCTTTGGCATGAGGCTGACACCCCCTGAGAAGGTGTGGGACCCCTTTCACTTTTTCAGAAGGTGGAAGAGTAGGCACCCCCACCATGGCTCCCCCAGATCTCACATTCTGGCTCCTTTGCCTGAGGGCTGCTCTGAAGGGTCTTAAACCAGAAACCCTGGATATCTCAGGTGCCAAGTAGTGCCTAGGCAGTGATATTGATTTATAGACTATATTTATGTATATATATAATATATATATGCATGTATTATCATTATTAAAAAATAAAATCCATCCTTGGGCATCACACACCCTCATTGCACCAAACAAAGGGACCTTCTGGAACTCCCCCAGCCCAGCTGCCCATGTGCAAAAATGCAACCAGGGGAGGAGGCACTGGCAGTGTGTGGCCACAAACCAGTGAAGTCAGGGTGGTGGTGGTGACAGGCACCCCTTGGCACTTCAGGATGTTTGCTCCTGCCAACCATTTGCCATGGGCCAAGAGGAAGGCCAAGGCAGCCCAGTGGAGGGGGTGGAGGGAGAAGGGCCGTAGCTCAGGGGTTGGAGCACCTGCCTTGCAAGCAGAAGGTTCTTGGTTCGATGCCCGATGGTGCCTCTCCAGAAAGGGCTAGGAGGGACTCCTGCCTGCAAACCCTGGAGAGCCGTTGCTGCCAGTCAGTGTAGACAATGCTGAGCTAGATGGACACTGACTCAGCAGAAGGCAGCTTCCTACGTTCATTCAGAATAATCGGGACTGGGGTCTTTATTCCTAAGGGGAAGGACCGTAGTTCAGTGACAGAGCAACCTGCGTTGCATGCGGAAGGTCCCAGCTTCAATCCTCTCCTGTAGCATCTCAGGAAGGGTTAGGAATGTCCCCTTCCTGAATCCCTGTCGAGCCACTACTGCCAGTCAGTGCAGACAATACTGAGCTAGATGGAGCAATGGTCTGACTCAGTCTAAGGCAGCTTCCTATGTTTGTATGAAACACCCCTCTCCCCCCAAAACAACACAGCTGCTCCCTGTCCAAGTGCTTATTCCCATCGGAAGTCCTGGCCCACCGTCTCGTAGAACTTGACGTTGTAGGGGTGGTAGAAGTCCTGCAGCTGCTCAATGACCTCGGGGTCGATCTGGACATGAGTCCTGCCCTTGGACTTGCCCAGGCAGCGCGGCAACGTGCCTCCGGGGGTGGCCTTCTTCAAGCAGGGGAAGCCCTTGGTCTTGTTGAAATAGAAGTGCTTCTCGCTGATGAGCCTCTGGATGCCCAGGAAGTCCTGGATCTTGCCCATCTCCCCCGCCGGGTCGGTGATGAGCCGCTCGCCGCTGACAAAGTGCATCTGGGAGAGCGGGAAGTACTGGAGCCAGCTCTCCAGGTGCAGGGCGTAGAGGCCGATGCGGATGGCGCTCCAAGAAGTGTCCACCAGGCCCAGGCTGCGGTTGCGGAAGGAGAGGCCCTCAAAGGTGGGGATGTCAGGCTTCTTGGAGAGCGTCTGGGTGTAGTCGGAGATGGCCCGCGTCACCGGGTTGCGCACCACCACAATCAGCTTGGTCTCCCGAGACATGTTGAAGATCCGCCGGGGGGCTTCCCGTGTGACAAAGTAGCTGGGCGTTTTCTCCATGGTGATCTGGGTCTCCAGGGTGCGGGGCATCAGACGCCTGCAAGAGGAAGGCAGTGCAGGCAGAGGTCAGTTGCAAAGCAAATAAAAAGAGAGAACTTCGCACACGGCTTCCTCCCACAGCAGGCAGAGGGCTATCACTGCGGGGGGGGGGGGGAGGTGAAGTAGATGGCCCTTGGGAACTGTCAGGAGTGAGGAGGAATGATGGGGGCTGCATACCTTCTCCTGAACCTTCCCAAGAACAGGAGGACAGTATAGATTCAGAACAGTGGTTTGCAGAAGGGCATAGTTCTGAGGCTGCAGAGGGGAGAAGCTGGGAAATATTGGAAAAGGAACAGCAGGAAGAAGAAGAAGCACCAGGGGAGAGACAGCTGACAGACTCAGTGTCTCTAGGAAGTATTCCTGACCTCTCCCCTCCCAGGACCAGGCGTGCATTGAAAGTAGTAGAACATAAAGCTCAGAGTCAGAAAGCTCAGGTAGGGATGGCGTAGGATAAGAGAGACAGAGTGGGTTGCGGCTTTACTCAGAGCAATGCCATTATTTAATAGAGACTTCATTTCTTTGTCTGTCTCTCTGAATACAAAATAAATTACGTTCTAAGAACTCCTCTCGTTTATCTGCTTTTTGGCTGCCACCGAGGGAGGGATCGGATTCCCTGAAACCTGACAGGGACCCTTCCAACTCTACTTTTCTATTTTTCTATAATATGATGGCTGCTAGCCAAGAGGACTATGGCTTCCCTCCAGTGTTGGAGGCCACAATGCTTCTGAATGCCAGTTGCTCCAAACCACAGGAGAGGAGACTGCTCTTATGCTCTGGTCCTGCTTGCTGGTTTCCCATTGGGGCATCTGGTTGGCCATGTGAGAAGAGAATGATGGATTAGATGGGCCATTGGTCTCTGCCAGCAACCCTTGAACCAGCAATCATCTTTGCATGGTCAGGAGGTGACTGGTAGCCCTTCTTTGCCACAAAATGTCCAGAAACACCCATTTGGACCTGCTGAGGACATCTCCCAGCCCCCCCTTGTTTAACTTTTAACTTTTTTAATTTTTTTAAAAATAGTTTTTATTTTATTTTATAAGTATATAATTATAACAAAACTACCATTCACATTTACAGATTCCTCCAAATCTCTAGACTTCCCACCTGCCCTCCATGGGTCCTTATATTAAACCTGTTCTATAACATCATTGTCTCCATAGTACTTGCTGTGGACATCTTTTTAAAAAGCCACAACAAGTGTGACTCCCTGGGGATGGAAGGGATTCCCTTGCCCCGTATTCAAGTTATCCAAGGCAGTGATTATTTCATCATCATATCCAGAAAATCTCTATAATATCTATCACTTAAAGAAATTTTTGAAAATATTCTTTGTATTTCTCTTTTTAAATACCAATAAAATTTATTCAAGAAAAGAAAAGAAACATTCTTTTACTTGCATATGGGTATGTTGTTTTTAATTAAGGACTAGATGAAGTGTATTCTAATAGTGGAAGTCCTGGATTAGTGGGAAAGGGTCAGCCACCATAGGCTGGTGGAGTGGAGCCTTTATTTTTGCAGTGGAGTCAGGCCTGTCCAGACATGCATTTATGTTTTTATTGGCGGCTACAATGATTTTCATGTGTCAAACAGCAGCAGAGCAGGCTGCACTAAGATAGCATTCTTTCTCGATAAGTATCTAATACAGAAGAGGACAGTCAGCATTGTCATGTTTGTTAAATCGAGAGGACTTAAGGCATAATAAACATTAACTGATGATAATTCCCCAGATACTTGGATACTAATGGTTTCCCTATTTTTCTCTTGAACTGCCAGTCTTATAAGAATGGAAAAATGAAACAATGCCCTTCTGCAAAGGCGCCCTCCCCTTGCTAGTCCTCGCATGCTGTGCCTGCGGTGAATTTTCATGACGACTTCTGAAAAATAAATTTGTAAACTCCTGCAGAAATGTGGAGAACTTGAATTAAGATTGGACAAATGAGAAACAAAGGAGCCAAAATCAAGTGCATTTAAGCCTATGGGGCTTCTCTCCACTCCAGGGAGACTTTCACAGCCTGCAAGATGCATGGTTGCTGGGAAGACACACCTTTCCCTTTCTCCAGCTAAAACCATTGCTTATTATCTCCTCTTCCGCCTGCAACTCCCCTCCCTTCTTGCCACCTTGGCACTCCTCTGCTGCTCAGGGGCTGCAAACGCCACCATTCCATTCTGCAGATTTTGAGAGCTCTTGGCTCTGCTCCTCTAATTTATTAATGCAGTTTATTCTGCACTTTTTGTAATTGATTAGGACCTGTAATTTTTGTTTTTTAAATACATGGACCCAATTCCTCACGGAATAGAGCTTTATTAAGCCCAGAGGTGGCCCGTTAATGAAACAGCCGTTTTATGAATCTCCCACCAACGCTGAGCTGCTTATAAAGCTGTCTGGCGCTGATGGATGACCCAAACCTGTTTTTGTGATCTAAACCCAGCAGTGGGAGCAGGGGCTCCCTGACACTGAATTAGCATCTTGCTGACAGCCTTTAAACAATAGGACTCATAATCTGGATTTATGAGGCTCAGAGCAAAGCAAAGGGCCAATTAAACCTACATGCCACTCAGGTACTTGACTCGGGTGGTGGCAGCAGTAAGATGTGCCTCCTGATCTCCAGCATGCCCTGTTGGCACAGCTGGCAGGGAATGCCACGTCCTCTCTAGAAACCTCCTGGCACAGGGAAGACTAACAACAGCTCTATGCTCTATGCCACTTCTTTTCCAGGCTCAACTCAAGAGACTCATGTTAGTCTTTAAAGCCCTAAACAACTTAGGCCCCAAATACCTGAGAGCAGGGGTGCCAACTTGAATAAAATATTGGGGGAGCCGTCACCCCACATAACTGATCACAAGATCTGGCATGCACACCATTTGAAGGGCAGTGCCCATTGATTTTGTGGGGGGCAATCCCCTCAAATATTTTAAGGGGGGAACCTCAGCCCCTGGGAGTTGGCTCCTAAGCCTGTGAAGTCAATTTCCTCCGTACAGACCCAGGTGTTAAGTTCAGCAGAGGGGGCCCTCTGGTAGTTCCACCAACCTTGGAAGCTTGGTGGTGGCTGCCTGGGAGAGGGCATTCTCTGTGGCAGCCCATAAGTTGTGGAATTCCCTCTCTACAGAGCTGCCCCATATACCAGAGAGGCTGCCTTCTCCCCTACAGACTCCCCCTGCCCGCCTGGGTTCATGCTCCTTGTGTAAGTGGGACTTGAGAGAGAAAAAGCTGGCTCTGCAAGGACAGAAGACTAGATGCCCTCTCTGCTCCCCTTTGTAAATTGAGTGTGATTTGCTCAGTCACCTTAGGCAGGGCTGCAGCAGTGCAAAGCTTCTGTCAGGAGGAGAGTTAATTCTCCCTATGGGCTGTGACAGGATGGATCAGGCACTGGAGAACCCTTTGCCTGCGCAAGACTCCCCCCATGGGGGTGGGCCTTTGACTCACGTTCAGAAATGCTCTCTGTCCCAGAGGCAGGCTGATTTGAAAAGTGCATCTGAGTGGCTTCTGCGCACATGCTCTCTGCCCCACCCAAGGCACTGCCAGAATTCCTGCCCACCCCCTCCCCCTATTCATTCTCCCAAGCCGCTGCTTGTTCCATTTGCAACACAGAAGAGTAAATATATTTGTTTGTGTCATTGTCGTCCCCATTGTGTGCGGAAGACTGAGCAGGCAGGGACCCAAGTCTCTCCTTGCAGAGCATGCCAGCTGACTTCAGGATAATCCTGGGTCTTAGTCACTTGTCAGCAGGAAAATGAAGTGTTTAGCTTGGCAAGGTTCCCAAACAGCAAACAGCAAAAACTCCACTCTCTCCCATCCTTCAGTGCCAGAGTCGCCATGAGCCAAACTCAGAAAGCAGGAGTTCTCACAGGAGAGATAAACAGATCCCTCGATGGCCTCAGGGCCAATTCCCCGTGATTTAGCTGGCAAGGATGTGCCTGGCTAGTTAAGGCAGGTGGCACAACTTGCCATGCCCATGAGCTCCCCGGGAAGATGACAACGGCTTTGGCCCTGGCTGACCAGCAAAGAAGGACCCCACCCACTTGCATTTAAAGGCCAGCCCACATAATTCACACTTTCTGAAGCAATATGCGAGCCAAAACACAAAGCCATCCTTTGAAAGTAAAACCCCTCTGAATTTTGCATGCCGTTCCCCAGTGGAATAACATGTACAAAAATGCACTTATTTAGTGAAAATGGCATACAACGGTGCCTCGTAAGGGGAAACTGCTTTGCAAAAACGTGCATATCGGGAGAATTTTGCACTAAAGTGGCTGGTGAATTTTCATGAGAATCCGTGGAATCATAGAATGGTAGACTGAGGGGACCCAAGCAACCATCTAGTCCAACCCCCTTGCAATGCAAGACTCATAGCTAACACACTCACAAACTGATGTGGAAATATGCAGAACTGAATTTAAGATTTAGACGAGAAATAAGGAAGAGAGAAACTGAAACTGACAGACATACACAGCCCTAGTTTCATCACATTTGTTAAGAATGCCCATAAATGTTTCTTTTTAATTTTTGTTTTTCTTTTCGCAGAATTGCAGCACAGCCAACCAGCATGGCTATGCCAATGAGGCTTGGTCCCAGAATGGCAGAATGCTGCCTGCCTCTCACTGGAGACAGCAAGCAGCGCTAGTCAGCCAAGCAAATGTGGGAAATAAAAAGCCAATGCTGGGCGGGGGGGGGGGGAGGGGGGAGGGACATTATACCTTAACCCCAACCTGTGAGTAGACATAAGTCATTGACTCCTTCCTTCTTTTCCAACAGTCCCATAAGCTCATAAGTGTATTTTTTCCTGCAGGAAATACATGTGCAGGTTCGTCGCAAGAAATGGTGCTCTGGTTAGTGCAAAACAACAAAAACATCTCTGAGAAACAAAAATTATAAGTTGTTTTTTTTTTTTTTGCAAAATCAAAGCATTACAGGAATTACAGACTACAGCAATGAATGGCACGCCTAACACCACACACTGGCTCGCAGAAGAGCCTTTCTTTTGAGTAGGAAAGGGAAAC